AAATTCTTTGATGTATAGATTCGTTGGCTATGGATAAAATATCTGGTGAACAAAGATCAGACTTTAGTTTGGTTGCCTTATTTTCTCAAGGGCTTGCTCCACTACACCAACACATATATAGTGTTATGTGCCAGTGTTATACAAAGCTAAACAAAATAACAAGTGTCACTTCCAGGAACTTAAAAGAAGGAAAACCACAAAAATGTTGGACTGTTTGAAGAAGGATGGTTTTACTCTCATATTAACAAGTGCAGTTTTTGTTGGCGTTTTGATGCTAGCCATTCATATAATGATCTTGATGATGAGAACAGAAATTCTATGGAAAATTCATGGGCTTAGAAGTCTAAGGGGAAAGAAGTAGTAAAGAAGTAAAAAGGGGGATGGGTAAGGGAAACTTCCATTTTTATTTTAGATACTTCTATTTTAGCTGAATGCACTGTTTTACCTTTGTAATATAAAATGAGTTAACAATTAAAATCAGACTAACTGTAAGCATTAAAATATACCATGAATAATGGGGGGGGGAAAGGAGAAAAATATTTTTTTCAAAATAGTTTTAATTCTATTCACTATGGACAAACTTATCATTCATTGTCTTATCATTACTATCTCCTATCCTTGGTTAGTCCCCAAAGCGTGAGCGAATGAATGTATTTATGTATTTTAGAAAATAGGAATTTTTGGCAAGGAAGTATTCTTTTTTCTTCTCTTTCTTCCTTTCTCTAATGCCTCGCCTAGAAGACAGACACACTGCATAGAAGCAGCAGCAGTCAGCACCTGTGTAAAAGAATCAAGGGATAGCCATATTCCAGCTTTATTTTCTTGTACTACACCTAATTGATTCAATCTTGACCCAATCAAAAGACAATAATTTAAATAGGTTATGAAGGTAGAGATATACCATCCAAATATTTGACTTTATTCTCCTATCCGATGATTTGTGTGAACCAAATATGTTAGGAAATAGAGAAAACGGAGACTTAAGGAGCTTGTCACATGCTCCTTACACTGCTTAGTCATTCCTGAGCATGGAAGAAGAGGTACTTAATTTTTTTTTCTCTTGTAAGCTTCCATTTTAGATTCTTCTTTGGAGTAAAAACAGGCTCTTCAGCTATTTACAAGGTAATTTCTGAGTTGTACAAACTCCATTTTCCTTCACTGTACTCCCCCATTCAATCTTGGCTGCCATAGTCAGACAGAAAGAAAGCGCGAGGACCCTTTTTTCTTGCATCTGCACTGGAACCTTAGCAGCAGACAGTAACTGCTCCAGGTCTGTCAAATAGATGCGCTGAGGTACTTAATTTTTGAATAACCTCATCCTGGCTTCTAAAGATTATGAATTCAAATGTCAATATAACAATAACTCAACATTGGTTATAACTAGTTGATCAGCTATCTCTTTCATAAAAGGATGCCCAGAATAGTTACTTAAGCTACCTAAAACCCAGATCAACATATACATGAAATTAGGGATGCTAAATTAGTATGTCACTGGAGGGTTTCTTTTTCCTAGCAATTACAGGTGACATTAATCCATCTGTCACTCACTGGAATTAGAACCATCATATTTAACTAAACAGTATGACCTAATAACCTATTCACCATAGGTAGAGAATAAATGAGGATTAACTTTAATGGATTCTTATTATTTATAAGTTGAGTTCTAAGCTTCTTTTCCTCCTTTTATTAAATAAATGCTAGGAGTCAATTCATTGTGCTGATCACTGGGGGGAAGAAAACATCATCACTTTGAAAGAAATCATGGACTGGGAAGTGTACAAATTTATACATGACTATTAAAGGAAGCATGATACGAATCCCCAAAGAGAAGAAAATTCTATAGGAGAGTGAGGAGGGTAAACTCATCTGGGAAAAACTGAAGTAAGACCTCATAGTCTTGGTAGACCTCGAGGAGTAAGATTTTAAAAGGTAGCAAGCAATTGGTGATTAGGCATGAATAATTTAAAAAATGAGGAAGCAATCCAGGGTTTGAGTATAAGATGGGTTATGAGACTGGAAAGGTAGGTTGAGTTCAGATTGTAGAAGACCTGAATATTAAATATGGGTTAATTTTGAGGTATCAAGTTTCTGATCAAGAGAGTAACATAATTTACAATTATATTTAGAAAAATAAATAGCAACAGTGTGGAAGATGCATGGGAAGAAATGAGAGGCGAGTGGGGGAGGTTGTAATACTATGGGATGAGACAGAATGGCCCATACTTGAGAGACACGTAGAAGGCAGACTTACTTAGATGGCTTAGTAAGTAATTGACTAGGAAGAAAAGACAAGCAGAAGACCTGATGCCAAGCTTTACAGATTAGGAGATCTGGTTAACGGTGATGCATTAAAGGACAACAAGGGTAAAGGAGGTTTTGGTTGGAAAGAGAATGAATTCAGTCTTCTTGAATTTGAGTGCCTCAGGGGTATTCACAGAGAGATGTGTGATATGGCAGGTGACCAGAAATATAAGATTGAAGTTTGAGTTAAGAGTTCAGGACTATAATCTAGTCTGGGGATTCATCTCTCGGAATCATGGAAAGAGATGAGATTACATAAGGAGAGAGAAAAAAACAGGAGGGCAGAGAAAAGATCAGGAAGAGTAGTGGACAGGAACAGAAACCATCTCAGACAAAAAGGAGCAAGAGAGACTAAAAAAATGAAACTCAGGACAGTTAAATTTGTCTCCTGTAAATAACTGATATAAAGATTTAGGAGGATGAGACATTAGACCACGTATTTCTATTATCTATGTGCTACTTGACCCTGCTTAGTTAATTAGTTGAGATTCAGTCTAAGTCCTCTAAAAATCAATATGGAACCAAAGATTCACAGTGTGTACCAAATATATTCACTTGTCTCACTGAAATACTAATTTGTTAGCCTTGAAGTGTACATTTTTACTTGTATACTCTTGATCCTAAAAGGATTTCTAGTGTCCCTACTATATTTCTCCGAGCTTCTTTCCAAAGATCCAGTTATATAACTTCCCGATTAAAGCCTTACCCATGTTAAAGCTGAAATTATGTTAAAAATAACCATAACCGAATTTCAAGCTGATTCCTTAACTTAAAGTAAATAAAATTTTTAAATTTTGTTGAAATATCAGACCAAACTTTATAATCTATACTGTTTCCACAATGGATAATGATATTTAGAAACAGCTATAAAACCAAAGGCAGCTGTGTTTTATACTTCCGAAGTAGCCCATTAAGTGACAAATGACTATTTATTCAAGAAGTTTAAAAAAGCACCTAAAAAAGCCAAATCTTAGGACAACCCCACCCTCAACCTCCTAGACAATTAGCAATCAGGCTGCCTAATGCCTGTGAAACTGGGTTGGGGGACTCACAATTCTTTATATAAGGAGTTTTTTCTTCACTCTGACCAGTCACAAAGAGACAGGCTTGTTCTGACTCATCTTTCACTAGGCATTTATAAGAAAAAAGTCTCTCACTAGATCCTTACATATAATCAGCATTTTTGTTTGCTGCAGTCCCAGTCATTTCCTACCTTAGGCCAGTTTCGACATGCACCAGCCTTTTGCACTGAATCTACATTGTGTGTGCTGACATGACATCAGCTGTCCTGCCCCTAACAGGGTCTGAGACGGGAAGTCTTACAATGGTGCTTTGAGTCACAACAAAGCCCCTTCCTCTCTATTTAGGATTTCTGACATTTTTTCCTTCCATTTAAAATTCTTCCCATTTAAATTAAATTTTTTTTTTTTTTTGAATTAAGACCATAAAGAAGAAAGATGGAGTTGGCAGGCCTAGAGGACTAAATATTAGGAGGGATGAGAGTTTGTCATAAAACTGCTTTGCGGTTATATCTCTTGCCATTTGGTTTCAGTGTTAAAATAGAGCTAAAACTCATGCACAGAAGAGAGTTCTAAGTTTGCAAACCGTTAAAAATGTTTTCTACATTCTCAAACAGCTGATCCCTAAATACTCAAGAACTTTTCTGCGCAGGAAAGCTCCAAGAACTAAATTATGGGAAAAGACTGAGTCACCCCAAAGATAACTGAGGATTAGGATGAGTTATCTAATTTTTCTCGCAGAAAGAATGCTTCATACCATTACTTTTACAAATGTAGGGATTTTAGGCCAAATATTTAGCTTTAAAAAATTCAGTTTTCCCATCTAGATGGAATCTAGAATAAATGATGGCTTTGCTATCCATCAAATCTGTTTATTTCATTATAATGACTGTTGTAGCAAACCATCCTCATGTACAAAGCCAGATATGCAGGAAAGTATGAGAAAACTGGAAAAATTTACCAGTTCTGCGGCCCCTGGATTGTGTTATAAGTCACCAGCATATGTAACTCATTTTCTAGTTAAGTAATTCCCTCTGGGGACCTGGTCTGCAATCCACACGATGGATCAAATTTCATTAGCAGTTGTAGGAAAATGCAACCCTGTGCATTTGCAAGTCAAAAATCCTGTAGGCTAAAGCTAGTCTGGCTATCTTCATTGATTTTTCCTGGGAGAGGATTTTCGCTGATAGAAAACATTTGCTGGAAGGCACAGATGAGGAAGTTGAGAAGAATAGAAGGGATTCAGCTAGCAAAGAGACAACTAAGCCTCAGTCTTAATGTTAAACTCTGGCCTTAACACTCAGCCTGCAGCTGTGTCCAAGAGGAGACCGATTCAGTAGTAATTCTACCCCCCCCACCCCAGCAACAAATGACAAAAGACACAGGAAGACAAATTAAAAGGGCAAGCGTACAAAAATACATAATTTAATAGGCATCAAACTCTCTTCATTTCTAGATATCAACCTGAAGCCCAGTGTGCTCTTCATTTCACATGAAATTGGGTTGAAGACTCACAAATCTTAGCAGCTATGAAAACTTTTCGAAATTTTTAATTAACTCGTTTAACTTAAATCAAAAGACACACTGACCACATGTTCACCAGTACTCAAACTGTTAGAAAACTGCTTTGTTTATTTACTTGAATTGGCTTTCTCAAGTTTAAACCTTCCCAATCCTTACCTTGGTTTGAGTCGGTTCGCCTTTCTCAAACATCATCTTAAGCCTGTTCAGCGGAACATTGTATTTCTCTATTTTGTTTGCAGCTTCTGTGTTTTCACTGATTTCAGGTTTTCCTACTTCATGCCTGGATTCTCCTAGACAATTTTCCATGTTTTTACTTCCTGTTGAGTGGTCTTTAAGATGCTCACTGTCCTCGATGCAGGGATACGGATACTGAATAAGGGCTTCAGGAGGTGATCCAAGTCTAGGTCTGGGGTGGACTCGTTCCTCTCGGTTAGCTGCGGTCCCAGAGGCAGAGTTGCTTACCACTTCAGAGGGAGGATGGTCGCCTCTGTGCCTGACCTCAGTGCTGCTGTTTTGCAGGGAGTCTGAGAGAGACTCGGCTCCTAGCACCGGGTTCTCCCACTTCTTCTTTAACACAGTCAGGATCCCCCTTCTAAAGTGCTGGGGGAGATTTTCAGTGTTCTAGAAGAACAAGAAGTGAGCGCCAGTTATAACTTGCTTGCTGAAACATTCAAACATGTTGTTCTTTGTAAAATGAAAGTTAAACTCCAAGCTGCTCTAGGTCCACTGGCGTTTCAGACAGCTGTGAACAGTTACAGCCCTGCCACATGGAGAAAGCATCCACCCCGGGAGAGGGGAAGAGAGAAAAAGTCAGGAGCTGAAGCAGGAAGTGATAAAACAGGATAGCCTTATAAGGACAAAATGAGAAGAAAAGAGAGCCCAGATTTAATGATAGTTACATTGGAGACAAGAGATTTTTATCCAAAGATTAATTGGGAAAATGAAAAAGAAAAAGCAAAATACCAGGTACTTTAAACACTGTAAACATGTATTAATAAAAGTTCATCATTACATGCCACAAAATGACATGGAATATTCTGCTGGTTTTTTTTTTCTTTAAAATAAGACAAAGACATAGCATAGCTAAAACTATACAATACTAACTGTGGATAGTAGCAACGATTTGTAGAAATTTAAAGAAGTCATCTGACTTTTACATGTACTTGCATAAATTATACTTCCTCATGTCTGACATAATTTAATACATAAACAGTCAAATTTCATTTTTACATAAGAATCTAATTCTCTTTTTCCATACTCTTCTCTACATATACAAATTCTCAGTTATCACAATATTCACTATATTTACAGGTCCATGTATAAATTCTCAGTTATCAGAAAATTCACTATTTTACAGATCTTTTGAAAAATATCCAGGCTTCATATGAAAACACTACCACCCAATCTCTTGATTAAAGGGCACACATTTCCAAATCTAAGATAGTTCACTTTCCCCAGGGTCAAAATGGAATTAATTTCTACGTATAAGACAGGTAGGAAACAACTTGGAAACTGTTAATGTTGTTCCACAATAATAGAGGAAGCATGCTTGTTTAAATAAAAATCAATGTCCCATACTTTGAAAGTACTCCTAATTAGAGGAGTATCACCTTCCCAACAAACCACAAACTCCAATACTACCTTCTTGCCTTCCATTCCTGTAGTCTGTGACTCACTGGTCTTTCAACTAAGAAAGACAAACCACGTAGGACTGAAAGACTTCAGGGAATTAAACAGGATTAGCAGCTATATTGGGAATTAAGACTCTCACCCTATTACTCTTCTGAATAGACTCTTAGAGCCACTACATCAAGTAGCTGCAAGGCTTGAAAAAAAAAGTTACAGGAGAACGACTGCTTAATTTTTGTTTAAATATTAGCTGACAAGATTCACTGGGAGAAGCATGAATGGATCAGGGATATGAAAATGGATCAGCATGAAAAGTTTTCCTGTTGGAAAAAAGGGAATTAAAAAATAGCTCCGGAAGCTGGTGCTACCTTAACTGCCAGCGGCACTCTTGGCTCTGTGCTACCTCCTGCCACACAATGGATGAGTCATCTGGGTCTCAACTTTACCTGCTCTGCCCTTGCTCTGCCCAAACAGGAGCTCTGAGAATCAAAGTGGCATTTTGCCTTGGTAACTGGATACTACTTTTCTCAGAGACGAATCATGTGATCAAAGTATATTTATTAACATGAAAAGACATTTAGAAGATATTTTTGAGTGGAAAAAATCAAATTACAAAACAGCATGATCCCATTTTATAATACACATGTATATTTACTAATATAAGCATAGAAAAATATTCCAGAAGAAAAGACATCAGGCTATTAAGGGGTTACTTTTGACTCATGGATTATAGGCATCTGTATTTTCTTGTTACAATATGTATTCGTTGTGTAATAAAAATGAATACAAAAATAAAATTATATATCATCTTCATATCACAAAAAAAGCTTCCACAGAATACTAAATGCTTTTGATGTTACTGTAAGCAGCTTGAAAATTGTCATTTCTACTTGTGTTGGCCAGGAAGACAGGAATGTGTGATAGAATATCAGCAGTGTTCCAAACAAGGGCCTGGGTGGAGCACATCCCTTAGGGGGCATTTTAACAAGGAGTAAATGTGCTCTTTTCTTATAAGAACCACGTTAGGATACAAATTCAGAAGAGCTGGAAAGGAACAAAAAGGGGAAGGGCAGGGCTGTGAGGTCTGACAGCATTAAAGACCCCATACCCTTAAATCACTTCTGGTAGCACTACCTAAATTAAGCTATGCCAGTTGTTCAGGTCTTTAGGACCTGAGGCAAGAAAATATGGGGAAGAAGCAGTGGCTACAAAGCAAGAAGGTACAGAACAAAAGCAATAGCTAAAAGCAGTTTGGGCAGCACAGTGAAGGGAGAATTGGATTGAGATAGCCTGGGTCACTTATAGTCTCTTTATCTATATTTTTTTATAATGAACATGTATTTCTTGCACAATCCAGCTCCACCCAGCCAAGTGACCTTGGGCAAGTTTCTTTATTTCTGGAAACTCCCATACAGTACTATTGTGGAGAATAAATAAATGAGACTATATTAAAGCACGATTATAATTAAATGGGTGCTTCTCCCTACTCCTCCAGCCACAGATCATAATGGTGATCCTCTACAGTTTTCAGTCATCTCCGAAAAACTTGGGTTACAGTCTCTTACTGTTTTTCACACTCTCTTATATAGTCTCTACGGTTCTACAGTAGAAGCGCAGGGCACAAAAGTGAGGTGAAATTTTAGTTAATGTCGTTTATATCAGGGTTTTAACGTCTTCCCAAGTGTTTTCCTAGAATAAAGCAGTGGAAAGTCAAGGAGGCTGCAAGTTTTCAAGGGCCCCATTGGTTGCTGCACTACCACAGCCTCCTTTCGCAAAATGACATCCAGCACACTGTTCACTCTCTTCCACAAGGCTGAGAATCTTGGCAGATTTGCCCCTGGACCATAAGTGGCTGCTTGAATCCAGATGCAACATAGTGTTTTTTCTGCAGGAGCATTTGACCTGGAATTGGGATGAGTCCCAGCTCTGTCATTCTGAAATGTATGACCCTAGATAAGTCCTTTCATTTATTTGGGTCTCTGTTATCCCACCTGTAAAATGAAGAGGCTGGTTCAAATGAGCTTTAGTGTTGAAATCTTGGCAGGGGAATCTTCATTTTAAAAGCAGGAGGATATTTGGTAAGATGCAGCACTGGGTTTAGAAACATAGACTACCTGGATGTACAGCCTCCAAGGATGGGAAGAAAGTCCTAGGCTGAGAGCTTCCCAGGAAAGTAGCCAATCATTATGGAGAGGAGTGCCCAAACAGCACAGATTTCACGAAGTGGCCTATTCAATGCTTGAAGGGAACCTGAAAATATAACTGATGATGGTATTAATGGTCTGCGTTTCTGCGTCTTATGTTTAAGGGGAATAGGAAGAGAAAGGAGGATTTCTGGGAATCCAGGCTATCATGTAACCTGATCCAACTATTTGCTAAAGGAACAAACTTACCCACTTGCTCCTGAATGTTTATACTAATTTGCTTTCCATGGTAGAATGTAAATATTCTTTCTCCTGGTCAGTCACGTCTATAAATTCATGTGGACATTTCTCCCTGTTCATCGGGAGACAATTTAGACTTCTAACAAGTTTAGTGGATCTTAAAAGCAACCCTCTGTGATTACTGGAAAAACTGGTGAGATTTGAATAAAGTCTATAGTTTAGTTAATAGTGTTGCACCCATGTTATATAAGTTGTCAACATTAGGGGAAGCTAGGTAGATGGAGGCATAATGAGAATTCTCTATCTTAGTAACTCTACTATATATCCAAAATTATTTTTTAAAAAAAGCTTATTTAAAAAAATGGTAACTCTCTCTCAACTTTATGTCTTCCTCTAGCTATTGCTGTCTCTTGCATTACATAGGTAAGTGTCTTGAAAGTAGTCTGTAATTGCTATTTCCACTTGATCACTTTCCACTGACTCTTATTCTACCACCAAAGTATTTCTGAAGTAGCTCCAATCAAGATTACAAATTACCTCTTTAAATTTTCATTTCATTATCTCATTTTCAATTTATTACTTTTCTCAATTACGAAAGTAATTTAAAAACTTACTGGGAGAAAAAAGTTATAATCAATATAGGAATGTATACATGCCTTAAATATATGCTATAATTTCCCATATTTGACACCATTGCTCCTCCCAACAAGATATCTACTGCCAACAGTTTGGTGTGTTTGCTTTCAATTTCTCCCCTATTTCCCCTGCCCCAAAATACACTATATTTTTTTCTATAAAATCATACTATAGTACTGTTCTGTACCTTGCTTTAATCATTTAATGTGCTTTTGATATCTTTCCATATCAATACATAAAATCTTAACTATATAGTATAATACTATATATAATATTATATTGGATGCATGTACCATAATTTACCATTCCCCCACTGATGAATATCTGCATTATTTCAAAATTTTCAATATTACACAAAATCCTGCAAAACATACCCTTTTAAGTTTATTTTATTTCACTTGTAAGTTTTTCTCAACGATAATTCCTAGAAGTAGAAATGCTGGGTCAATGGGTATAAAATATATTTAATATCTTAATAGATATTGCCTCGTTGACCTCTCACTAAGTGTTAAGAGTTCATATTTTCTCACATACTAAATATTATCCATTAAAAAAATCTGCCAACTGTTTAGATTACAATTTATATCTCATGATTACTTTAATTTATATTTCTTTGATTATTAGCAAGGCCAAGCATTTTTTCATGTTCATTGTTCCTTCTTTAATTACCTGTCCACATTGTTTTACCTCAACTGCCAAATGCAATGGACGCTTCTGCTTTATTTCATTTGATCTCTCTATAGCATTTGACATTACTTATCACTCCCCACTTTTAAAAATTCCTTCCTTCCGCCACAGCCCATACTCTGGTGCGCCAAGCCCCCCAGGTGTGCCAGGCCCTGGGTGTGCACCGTGAGCATATGGGAGGAGACGCCCTGCCTTCAGAGATCCAGTTCTTAAGGGGAGATGGCAACATCCGTAGGTTAGGGGTGGAAGTGGGTGGGGGGGAATTAAAAAAAAATTCCTTCCTTCCATAGTTTATATGACACCCCCTTTTCCTAGATTTCTTCCCATTTCTCTGGCCAGTCCTCCATTTTGTTTACAGGTTTCTCTTCCTCTGTCCCTCCCTTCTATATTGGGGTCCATCGAGACTCTGTCTAAAGTCCTCTTCTTTGCTCACTGTTCATATTCTCTGTAGATGATCTGATTTTACGCCCTACCTGTCTGTTGATGACTCATAACCATAACCCTAGCCAGATATCGCTTCTTACTTATCAATTTTACCTTGAAATTCTATAGGCATCTTAAAATTCATCCTTGTGTAAGGCTGAAGTCTCCCTTTTCCCTTCATTCCTCACTTTTAATCTGTTTCTTTTCCTGAATTCTCCATCTTGGTGAATGTGACAATTATCTTTTCAACTGTCAAATGTTCCTGTTCTCTTATGCCTCCATATTGTGCATGTGCTGCTTCTTCTGCCACTCCTTTATCCACTCCCCAACCCCCCTTTTGAGCTAATTCCTATTTGTCCTTTGGGCTCAGTCAGGCACCACGTCTTCTGGGAAGCCTTCCTTGACATGGCATTGCCCAGGTTACGAGTCCCTCCTAAATTCTCCCCCAGCACCTTGAGTATTTCTTTAATATGGTACTTATCACACTGAGATTATAAATTGTATTTTCCAAACTCTGGACAGTCCTTTAGGAGGGACTACACCTTATTTCTCTGTGTCTTCGGCACCTGGCACTGAAGAGGGACTACACCTTATTTCTCTGTGTCTTCGGCACCTGGCACTGAAGAGATGTTCCATAAATGTTTGTCTATACTTGGGATGTCAACTTTTGTCATGCCACTGTCTTGAACCTAGTCCAGTCAGGCCTTTATCCCATCACTTCCAAACAGCACAAGATGACCAGTGACCTTCATGTTGTCAAATCTAATGGTCAATTCTCAGCTTATCTGTGTGTTTGACTCTGTTGATAACTCTTTTTTCAGAAACACTTTATTCACTTGACTTCTGGCATTCTCTTATTTCACCAGTTGCTCTCTCTTAGTCTCCTTTGCTGGTTCCTCCTTATCTCTCTAACCTTTCATTACCAAGGTGCCCTTGAGCTCCGTCCTCAGACCTTTTCTCTAGCTCCACTCACTCCCTAGGTAAGCTCACACATCTCATGCCTTTATTTATTTATATATTTTTTAATTATTTATTATTATTTATGCCTAGAGCACCTGGTTTTCCTAGGTGGTCTCCTATCTAAGTACTAACCAGGCCCGACCATGCTTAGCTTCCGAGATCAGACATCGGGCTTGTTCAGGGTGGAATGGCTGTAGACCATGGACTGTGGTTCCACTGGGGCGCAAACCCAGGACCTTCTGCATGTAAAGCAGATGTGCTAACCGCTACACTATGTAACCACGTCCCATCTGATGTCCTTAAATACACTTTGATATATATCTCATCTTCAGCCTGGATCTCTTCCAATTCTAGATTTTTATATTCAATATATCTAAAACTGAGCTTCTAATAGTTCCCCTTCTCTAAATCTGCTTTTACTGCAGTCTTCTCCATCTCGATTAATGGCGTTTTCCCAGGTGTTTGGTCCAAAAACACAGTTGCCATTTTTGATTCTTTTCTTTCTCTTTACCTTCAGTATGAATCCTGACCACTTCTCGTCACTTATGTGGCTACTACCCCAGTCCAATCCATTATCACCTCTTGGTTAAATCACTGCAATTGTCTTGTAATTGGTCTCCATGCGTCTGTCACTGTAGCTCTAGTCTTTTTCCTCTTTTTAAGATTTAAGTAGGATCATATCACCCCTTTGTACACAAAACCTCCAAAGGTCCTCCATTCAATCGTGGTTAAAATCCAGGTCCTCACAATGACCCTATATGATCTTGCTCCTATTCCTCAAACACACTAAGAATGTTTCTGCCTCAGGGTATTTGGATGTACTCTTATCTTCCGCCTGAATCATTCTTCTCCCTGGCTCATATCCTCAGATCTCTGCTCAAATGTCTTCTTATCAGAGGCTTTCCTTGACTACCCTACACTCCATCTCTCTTACCTGCTTCATGTGTTTCATAGTTCTAATCACCACTTGAACAATATCGTTATTGTCTGTCTCTCCCACTACAATGTAAACTCCACGATGGCAGAGATGTAGTCTATATTAGTGCCTAAAACGGTGCTTGGCACATAGTAGGTGCTCTGTGAATACTTGTTAAATCAAGGAGTGAAAGAAAAGAAGAAAGGAGGAAAGGGAGAAGGTGGAAAAATAACAGGCAAGAGAGTGAGAGAGGAGGAAGAAACCAGCAGTTGAGTGAAATGATGGTCGCTTTTTCTTACAATGTACTCGAGGGAATCCATTTTTGAATTACAGAAAAATTAAACTAAGGACTCAGTCAGCATTACTCCTTTAGAAAGAACAAACTGACAGGGGCATGTCATGTATTAATTTAAATAGGTTAAGTATTGAAAAATGCCAAGAGGATGTTTTTATAATGCTAGCCAAACTAAAGAATTCTTGCCCAAATGCATAAGTTTTTTTCCTCATAAGATTAAATCAAGTAAGATTTCAAAAGAAATACACAATCCAGTCCAACTGGAAGTTAGCTGGCAGGGAGAGTAGAGAATGGGTACAAGCAGAGAGCTTGTTCTGAGGTTATAGCCTTCGATGGATCCTGCAGCTAAGAAATATGCTAAGTTTCTAAGTAGACTGGATCAAGAAGTTTGTTTTAAACAAAGAACACAGAGGATGACAACAGCTGCACAGCTGCTACCATTTAAATGCAGAAATACAAAAATACTGGTTGTTTAATTTGGAACAAAGGATGGCAGCCTAGGAAGCCTTGCATCCTAATTTGAGCAGAAGTAGTAAGCCATTTTACAAACCTTAGGCAAAGTACATGACCTCTGTCCTTCACTCAACTCAGGGAATAAAAAGTGGTTCAAAAGGAGAACCTTAGTGAAAAAATAAGATTCCAAGTAATAAGATTCTAAGCCAAGTGGCTAACAAATCAGACCCGTTGGCACAAATGTCCGACTCAGCTGACATGGAGCCAAAGCCCCACAGAAACTGCAGGTGGCTGGGCCACACAGGCTCTCCTTCTGAAGTTCCACATGCCCCCAGGCTTCTGAATACTTACATTTCTCCTTTTCTCTGTGTTTGCTTCTTCAGCTGCTTTCTGGTACCTTCAGAGAAGGGGAGGGGAGAGAATATCCTCAAGTTAAACTTATGTTTTTACTCTTTCAATCTTTAAGAAAACCACTTCTGCATACCTATTTCTGCAAGCAATTGCCTTCAATCAACTCTATCAGAAGCAGCAGAGAATCAGAGCTGCCCTAACTTTCTGTGCTGTTCCAGTCATCTGCTCTGATACAACAGAAAGGTCCAAGTTGATGAGGTCAAATGCTCGGAAACAACTGGGTAAAAGTAGAAAGTCTGGGGTGTAAGTCCCAGTTTCATCACTTATTAACTATGATGTCTAGCAAGTCACTTAACCTCTCTAAGCCTCAGATTCCTTATCTAAAAAGTGGCTTTATATATCTAGTTTCAGGATTGGTGGGAAGACTGAATGACATCATATGTACAAAAATTTTTTGGGATTAGTCAAAGGATATAGCATTGCATTAATCCTAGATGCACATTTTCCCCACACTAAAGCCTGTGAAATATTTAACTCTTGTCAAGCAAATGATCAAGAGGTAGTCATTCTGCCTGTACACGTGTGAATTTAGTTGAAGTCGTTGGTATTATCACTTCAGCTCAGTTAAATGTATTTGATATTACTACATGCTTTAAATACCAATTAAAATGTCTTTAAAGAGATTACAGTATGGTTTGGCATTTAAAGAAAATTTATTTTACTTTTTTATGTGTGTGT